GGGATCGGGTACTCTAAGTAAAAATGTTCAGAACCTTACAAAAACTGAGATTGGGATCTTTTATTAGCTCTATATTATTTTATATAAAAAAAAAAATTCTTAATATCCTAACCCTAACCCTAACCTAACCCTAACAATTCTTAGGCCGGTGAATTTTCACCACCGGTTAATTTTAAATTAATCCTAAATTAAAATTTGTTTAATTACGACCTGGCCTCATTTTTAAAAAATTTATCTATTTTAATTCAATATTAACCAAAAATATAAGTAATCACACATTTCTTTACACAGAATGAAAAAATATATTAAAAAAACAATTTAGTAGAATAAAAATATGGTTTCAAAACTTGTTAAAACCTAATCATTCTTAAAATTATTTTATCTCTCTTAACGAATCTAGATAAATTATAAAAGAATTGTAACTTTAAGAAATATTTGAATCTATTTAATATAAAGGGGATTTTTTATAAAGAATAGGAACGATAAATATTATACATTATCTATACTCCAAAATTTATTGATCGAACTACTAAAATTAGAATATAAATCAGACAATATTATTAAATAATTAATAGATTCATTGCATTTCTTCGAGTAATTTATCTACATCATCTTCCATGAAATCTACTGTAAAAAAAAAAGACATGATCATATTAGTTAAATATTTCTTTTTATATGTATGAGGAAGTCATCAATCAAAACGTCATAACACGACGTCAATAATAATAAAATGACACTATATCCGACAGTGGCATTTGAGAGAGATTCATACAACACGTTTTGATTGTTTTGATTGACGACACCTGAATAATTCTAATGAAAGATAACTTACCATCATCGTAATTTATACTATTTTCGTCATCCAAATTTTCTAAAATAATGAATTAAAACGGTTAATTAAAACATAATAATAATAATAACGCTAATATTTGTATTTTGAAATGAGTAATTACCAGATTCATTAATACTATATTCACTTAAAAGTCTATCAACTTCTTGTAAAAGTCCATCGTCTTCTTCATCTGTTGAAGAACTTGATGCATTTCGTGGTACCTCATTGGATTCTATAGAAACAAATGATTCTGTAGATTCATCTTCAGCCAGAAGCGAAGTAGTGCTTTCAGAATTATCAGATTTAAGAGATATTCTACTTTGTCGTTTCGATTTTTGATTATCTGATGAACTACTAGAACTTTGTGATTTTTTACGTTCTGCTTGCAATTTTCTACGATTATTTAATCGTTTACCAAAACTATTAGCTAATTTCATTCCATCAGACATTAATACATTAAATATTTCACGTCCTAATCCTTTTTGTCTTTCTTCAACGGGTTCAACAAGATTAAATGTTGAAGCAAAATCATTATCAAAAAAATTTTCAAGATAAGCATCAGCTAAAATTACCATACGAAAAGATGGAAAAGACATTCTACGTTCTCCATCTTCTTGACTATTACGTTGTGCATCTATAACATTTTCTACAACTTCTTTTAAATCTTTTTTTTCAATCGAAGGATCACTATATTCGAAAGCATTCTTAATAAAATTTGAAACTGAACTAAGATAATTATCATCTTGACGAAAACGAAATATAAATAAAAGACTTTCTGATAATTGTAAAATTTCTTCTTTTAATAAATAACCATCTTTATCACCATCATGTAAATTGAAAAAAAGATTTATTCTTGACATCATATCTCCAAATTTAATTTCACCAAATCCTGTTACAACATCTTGAAGAGTAATACCACCAGATGATGATTTATCAAAATGATTAAATAATCTATTAATTATTTTATATCCAACAATTCTACGTCCTTGACTATCTCTTGGTACACCATTTTCACTATTACTTAATTCATCATCTTCTAATTTTGCCCAATTAGTAATATTTCCCAAAAATCGATAAAAAGTTGTTAAATCCATTCTAGAATCATTACGAACACTTTTTTGTTTACCATAAAATTGTGCTGTATAATACTTATCATAAATAACTGAAATATCTTCTTTTGAAAATTTGCAAGTATCTGAAAGATTTCTTATTATATCACGTTTTGTAAAACTTTCAATATTATGAATTACTTTAAGTTGAAAAGTATTTCGAAGTTCTATTACACTTTGTGTTGTAACACTTGAAAATTCTTTAAATGCTACAATCATTAATTGATCAAATTTTGTTAAATCTTGTAATTTCGGATTGGTTGTTTCTGGGTGCATAGGTTCATCTAATGATGAAAAATACTTTTTTAATGTATTAATGAATGCTCCATCATCAGAAACTTCCATGAGTTCATTTCCGTTTAACTTAAGAATAGCTAATAATAAAATAAATTTTACATTAATTAATTTAATTAATTTGAAATAATGCGTAGGGGCGTAATTTCGAATTTTGGTCTGAATTAATCTTAATTCGGGCCAAAATTCGATATTATACCTTTAATAATAAACATATATTTCAAGAATTTCTTACCTAATCTGCACAAGAGCCAGGAAAGGTTTAAATTATATTATTCATATAAAGTTTTATAATTGATAATATGAACTCAATACATTAATACGTTACCCTATTTGAAATAAGACTCTTGGACCTTCCATAAAGAAACAATCAAGAATTCGGAAGGCAAAAAGAAGAGGCATCGAATTAATGTAAAGACTGAGAAACCAAGGTAGGCAAGCAACTGATAGTTGAATATCTACTTTTTGGAAATGATCATAAAGTATCGACATTTTACTTTGAACATAGTGTTCAAATATCATTTGATCAAGAATTGCACCATACATTGAAGTACTGAATATTTTAAAACAAAATTAGTTATAAATAAAAAATAAATAAAAATATATATAAACAACTTGATTTAAACGTATATTTAACCTATAATATCCAGGTAACATTCTATCACATAATACGCTCAGAATCCAAAACGCTTGTTCTTCGCTCATATAACTATAAAGTAAAATAATTTAGAAAAATATTCATCAAAATTTATATAAGACGGATGATAATGTGTCCCTACATTAATATAGCAGATGCGACAATATTCATTGCTTGGCAATAACCTAATTCAGGATCTTTCCATGAATAAGCAGTCAATACACGTCTCAACCTGTTGATACCTTCTGGCGATTGATACGCTGGATATTCCGGAAGAGATCTAATAAAATTTAAATATTCGAAATTGTTTTTAGAAAATATTAGAAAGATTTAAAGATATTGTAAAAGTATTTCCAAATATAAAGATTATAAAAAAAGACATTATTTTAACCTATTTAAATCCTTCTCAATTTCTTCCATGTAAGGGGTCACTTTTCCAGCATATTCCTTATGCAATTTATCATACAATCCATTATTCATGAATCTTAGGTATATTGCTCCAGAACATAATTCCCACATTTCTCCCCGTAATTTATTTGGTAATCCAATACGAACAAGTTTATAAAAGTGTGGTAATTTAATAAGAGTCAAATTTCGACCGTTATCTAGTATAGAAAAAATATTATTAGAATTTCATAACAAAAAAAAAATCATATTATAATATGCATTATTGATGATAAAAAGTAAACATACTGTTCATATAATCGATCCAAAGCTTTGTTTTTGCTCGATCCTTTAATCTGCAAATAATAATAATAATAATAATAATAATAATAATAGTAATAATAATAGAAATAATAGTTTAACATGTAATGTTTCAAATAGATATAAGTTAAAACACAAATGAATTAAAACTCGCTTTTTAGCATCACCAGGAAATTCAAAAGTCAATCCTAAACCTCCAACAGTAAGCTCCTTTTTTGGATCAATTAATAAAACTTCTGAAAAACAAGTACTTAAAAAAGGTCGTAAAGACTTCATATGACGGAGTTGATTTTTAAGATTACTTCTGAGAGTACTGCAAAACTTATCACAAACAGATTTTGTAGCATTAAATTGAAATATAGATTTCATTTGATGCCAATTTAATACTGATAAAACAAGATTATGAGTTTTGCTATTAACACGTTCAACTCTTCGTACAGTATACAATGGTATTACTAAACTACATCCTTTTCCATCATTAGAAGATTCAAAAGTTAAGTAAGCTTCAGAAAGTTGAAGTTTACCAGCCCAAGAATCTTTCATTTCAGATATTGTAAAATCACAAGCACATTCTTGCATTAAATGCTCTGTTGAAGGTAAATTATAAAATATTCGAAATTCTTTATCACGTTTTTGTCCTTCAAGGCCTTTTTTTAAGGATGGAACCATTGGTGACAAAGGAGGATCAGATAATGAAGGGGAATCCAATTTTTGATTGTCTGTAATATTATCAGCATCGTATATGGACATTGAAGGTGCCAATTCGACGGCAGCATTTTTGAGTAATCGGTGCATTGACAGACCCGTTAATTGCACCAACAGACCGTAGGTCTATAAACAACATAATAATATTTTTTAATAATAATTAATATAATATTTTTAAAAAGCAATTAACAGAAGATTTTTAAATTTATAGTAATTAATAGAGTAATTTTTTAATAAAAAATAGTTATATCAACTTACTTCGTCTCGATGAAAAAGATTTGCGAAAAAATACTAAAAGAAAAGTAAAATAATTAATCTTACATTCATTTAAAACCAGATTATTTTGATATTAAAAAAAAAAAAAACTAACCTCGTTACCATCCCTTGTAATCACTTTAATTGAATCTGAGACCATTCCACGTTTAGATTTTTCTTTAACCAAATTTTCAATATTTTTTAATTCTATAAGTAATTTTGTCTCAATTCCAAGTATCAAAGAATGAAAACCAAGGTAGTTTTCACTTATATACATCCACCCTTGTTGGATACCACGATATGCGCACGAATAGACTTAATAATTAATAATTAGAATAGATAAATAAAATTATAAAAAAAAAAGAAGACAATACTGATAATACTATATAAACAAACATACAATTAACTAGTCTTTCTGTAGGTGCTATATCAAAATTTTGGCGAAATACTCTTGATGCATTTCGAATGTTTTGATCTTCTGCAACTTCATCGGTCCCTTTATCTATGCATGAAAAGACATTTCTTAGATAATTTAAAAAATAATACATTATTTAGATCATAAGAATGATAAAAATCCGAATATACCTTGTCGCGTAACTAAAGAATTTATTTTCGTTACAACATAATTTTCTCTTTCTGCGGGAATATCAAGTATTGACAAACCATCATTTAGACTATCTGAAAATTATGCAAAAGAAATAATTATAAATGAATGCAGTAAATAACAAAATTCAGTGTAAAATCAGAATTACATTACATTCGATCCATTTCCAGGCATCTTCGATCCCTTTCTGAGATTGAGAAACAGCAATTTGTAAATAAGGTGAAGTTACCTCCGATCGAAAAAGTATTCGAAAAGGAGGTGCTTTGTGTTCAAAGCTGAGATATAGTAGAAAGGAAATAAGCATAATGCAAAGCAATTTCAACAAATTTGAAAGAAGAATACGCACACATTTTGTATTGTACCAATAACACCTCGAAGGATTGCACTGCTTGGTGATCTTGTTTTTTGGAGTACAAAATATTTGGAAGATTTGATAACATCCCAGAAGGGATTACTTGAATCGCAAGTAATGGGTAGTGTAAATACCCCGCGCGGAGGATCAATATGAGTATTATTCATTTCTAATGGAAAAGATAAAATTCAATTTCGAGCGAGAAATCTTTGTATATGTTTGTTGTACCATAACACGAGTTTGTACCTGTTTAATTAATTACTATTTTTAGAAGGATTATGCAAGTGATTTTACGTGTAAAATAAGGAATTGCTGAATAGAGTTAAATTAATATTACTACGTAGCGCTAGACTTAACACTTAGGCGGCAACTTCTATAAAGCGCTTTTTCTTTTTTTTTACATTTGTATTGATTGATGGCAAAATTTTATATTACGTGTAATAACGATTGTGCATATGATACTTTTCACGCAGAACTTTCGATACAATGGATTAATTCGGGAGCCTTTAATTTTAATCGCAGTGAATGTAGTTTCAAGAACACCTAACTTACTCTCAGCTTGATATGCATATATCATTTTCTATATCACAAGAACTTTGCATTCGATCATATCCAGGAAGTTTGATTTAAAAGAAGTATATTTTTAAGATTCTGTTATTCTTTAATAAAACGGGTTTTAGTAAAAAAAATAGACAAGTTACATTTCTAAATCGCACATGTATACTTAGAATTTCGTTGCAACATATATCAATTTCAATGTACAAAATTAATTTTCATACAAGTTTATTAATTGTTAGTCAATATAATATTTAAAATAAACTAACGACCAAGAGATTAATTTTTAGCAGGATGTTAATTAGATCGTCTCAATTCGAGAACCATTTTTATAATGTTAGTAACACAAAATTTGAATTAGTTCGATGTAACATAAAATTAAAATATGTATATTGTGCAGAAAAATATAAATTCGACTTTTCATTTTTTTCATGCGTCTTGAAAAAAAATGGACCAAGAAAGTCCGTCTAAATTAAATAATATGGGATATAATTATCAACATGGAATTGGAGTTGAAAAGGATGAACATAAGGCATTCATTTATTATCAAAAATCTGCAGAGATGGGTGACGCTGGTGGAATATCTGCACTTAGTAACTGTTATATGAATGGAATTGGAGTTGAAAAGGATGAACATAAGGCATTAATTTATTATCAAAAATCTGCGGAGATGGGTAATGCTAGTGGAACATATAATATTGGATATTGTTATCGGAATGGAATTGGAGTTGAAAAGGCATTCATTTATTATCAAAAATCTGCAGAGATGGGTGACGCTGGTGGAATATCTGCACTTGGTAACTGTTATGTGAATGGAATTGGAGTTGAAAAAGATGAACATAAGGCATTCATTTATTATCAAAAATCTGCAGAGATGGGTGACGCTAATGGAACATATAGTGTTGGATATTGTTATCAGAATAGAATTGGAATTGAAAAGGATGAACATAAGGCATTCATTTATTATCAAAAGTCTGCAGAGATGAGGCTTGCTAGTGGAATATCGGCAGTTGCAGAATGTTATAGAAATGGAATTGGAATAGCAAGAGATTTACATAAAGCCAAATACTGGTATCAAAGGTAAATTTCAAATACGTGCATGTATAGTACATGTATGAAGCACCACAACCAAAGTACAGACAAACCTCTCTATAGTCACCTCCTATATTTGCACATTTTCTTTATAGGCATATTTTTTTGAAAACAATTATCTATAATTGTCACATTTCACTACAACCACATAGTTTTATATCCCAAGTGTGATTATTGAGAGGTTTGACTGTATATGATATTTTGATCAGGTGTAATTAGAATAAAAAAAAACAAATTTAGATTGGGTTAAAATTTGAAAAATTTTTAAAAGATTTTTAAAAAGATGATTTTATACCTGATCTTGATATTCTGTGTCGTACTATGTTGCCAAGATACTAAATTGCATTATATACACATTTTAACAAATTTCATATATTTAATTCACCGTTAGGGGTGAAAATCTAACATCAAGTATTATCATAATTAACTTATTATGAACTATATTGTTATTAATTTGTTTATAACTTAACGTTAACAAAACTTTATAAATAAATAATAGCTGCAATTAAATGGATACATAATTCTGAAATTGAAGATAATCTAAAAAAAATATTGACCGAAAATAAATATCAGTTATCTTGGATTCCTTATGATAATTTTAATAATATTTTTGAAATAGGTAAGGGTTGATTTGCAACTGTATATTGTGCCATGTGGGATGATATGAGTCAAAATTTACGCAGAGCTGTTGCGCTTAAGTTGCTCCATGAATCTAATAATTATCACGAAGAATTTATAAAAGAGGTAATCTTAATTAATTATTTTATTAAATTACTGCATATTATTTATGTTTATCATTTATGTTAAAATTGAGCATATAATTCTTTTTTAACAATTAGTTAAAAGCATATTGTGATATCGGGCTTAAAGATCCAACATTTTTAAAATGTTTCGGTATATCGAGAGATAAAGCTTCTGGAAATTATATTCTTGTCATGCATTATGCTTCAAAAGGTAGTTTGCGCAAAAATCTTCATGATATGCACAAATGGGTTGGAATGATAAATTAAATCTATTACAATGTATTGCATCAGATCTTTTGATAATTCATTCTCATGATCTTATTCATCGGGATTTACATAGTGGAAATATA